CCAAGTTAAACTATGTGTTTATTTAACAGGTAAAAGAGCTGCCAAGTTCAGCAAAGAAATTAAGCGAAATTGTCAGTCTTCGTCATGCGTCCAGTCGGCTTATCCAATATAATATATACAAAATAGAACTAGGACATGTTTCGTGTAGGTACTCAAGCTTTTCATGTATTGTGGTGATGGTGTATTATTTTTTTATTAGTAACTAGCGACCCGCCCCGGCTTCGCACGGGTGCAATATGCATGTATTATACATACAAACCTTCCTTAAGAATCACTCTATCTATTAAAAAAAACCGCATCAAAATCCGTTGCGTAGTTTTAAAGATCTAAGCATACATACGGACATACAGCGAAAGCGACTTTGTTTTATACTATGTATTGACAATGTCCTGGAATTCCTTCGTCTACCCGTATATCTATTCTGTGATAGTATTCGCGCAAGGTGCTGCCCTCACCTTCGCGAACACCACAATCAGAACATAGGAAATAGATTGCATGAATAAATCAATGTTTAGATAGTGGTTGTATAAATTAAGAATAAAAGTCGAAGTATCTTGACATAGAAGAAATTTTAACACCAAAATATCTTGATGTTAATATTTTAGAACCTCACATTCCATAGTTTAATTAGGGATGATATTTGTAAATGTAGAGGCCTATAAGTATTTATCGCCCATTTTAAATGCGACGTTGAGACGACCATACGATGATCATATCGAGGGGTAACGGACTATTTGGTTCAAGCGACATTTTGGGACATTTTGAGAGTGATATATATATTCGGAATCAGCGAATTTTTCTCCGTCGAATATACATAATAACCAAATATCGCCCAAAATGTCGCTTAAACCAAATAGTCCGTTACCCCTCGATATGAATGTAGGATTTCTAATTTTATTCTAAAAATGTATCTCATTGTTGTTTACCACTCTATTTTTCTCGTGTGTACGGTGCCCAGTAAAACAAGGCACACATACAACTTGATTGTTACCCCAGACAGTCGAGATAGTGGGACATTAGGACATTCTGTCAGGTGGGTAGTAGTATATTTTAGACTAATATTTCAAGCGAGGCTGCATTGTGTTGGTCTCATAGACGTTTTTCCTGGGTAAAAATCCTATGTATGAAACGCGATTTGGGAGGCCATTTCCTCTTTCATCTTTCTGCAGATGGAAAACCTCTTTCCTCTTTCTGGAAAAATTGTGCGATAGAAAACTGTAACTCTTTCTAATACCGGTTGCGGGTACAACTGGTATTAGAAAGAGTTGCTCTGTGCGGGAATGAGACTCGCTACACGTTGCGGTGCAGCCACTTGCCCACCCATCGCACTAATGCCTTGTTCACACTACGCTAGTATTTTAGTCGAGTAGCGAATATTCATTAGTCCTCTCTACTTCTGTCCCGAAATGTAAGTGAGAGAACTACTAAATATTCGCAACTCGACTAAATTACTAGCGTCGTGCGAACAAGGCATAACTGTGCAGTAAATTTTTTCTTACTTCATTAATGCACCTACTAAGTTACTTCCATTGATTGTCGTACTTTCGTCTCCACGTTGTAAGTAATAAAATTAAATGATTAATCACTGCTTTGCTACTTGTTTCGTAAATGATCTGATGCCTAGCTGGTTCTAGAATAACACAAAAGAAAGTAGCGGTTACTGACATTTAAATTTCGTTGCCATTTAAATTATTAATTTATTATAGAGGTGTAAGTTGTATTTATGTATTACTATATTTATATTATACTTGTGCGCTTATACCTATTTTAATTTTTGAATAATTGTATATTAAGATGCCTGTCAGATATTTTTCTAATTTCCATGTACTTACTGTTATGTTCTTATGACGTATCTTATCATTATGACGTACCTACGTCAAGATGAAATTAATGATTCATTTATTTTCGAAAACTAATAATAATTCGTTCCTTTTATAGTTCGTTAATGTTAACTTTGAAATACTCTAATATTTTTTTTACGAGTCTTACCGATGAGTATATACTATATAGTACTATTGTACTATTTCAATTTCAATATTTTATGATTAGGGTCGATAATTTTTAAAACCAAAAAAAATCATAATAGGAAGAAACCCATTAGAAAAGGAGGGAAATATGATAAAAATGAAAGGAAAAATAATTTACGGGCGATCTGAGGTTGGGAAGGGGGTGGGGGGGAGTTTTTAAGGGTAAAAAACGGTTTTTCTCGATTTTCCGCAAAACTAAAAGTCCTATCGAAAAAAGTCAAATGGAAAAGTTGTAGATAATAAAAAGATCTAAAACTTTTGTATTTACACTTTTTTCACATAACCTCAAAATTTATGTGAAAAATTCAAAAATACCAAGTTGTTGGTTTTTTATTTTTATCTTCTACAAAATTTTTTTTTATCTACAACTTTTCCGTTTGACTTTTTTCGATAGGACTTTTAGTTTTGCCGGAAATCGAGAAAAACCGTTTTTTACCCTTAAAAACTCCCCCCCACCCCCTTCCCAAACTCAGATCGCCCGTAAATTATTTTTCTTTTCCTTTTTATCATATTTCCCTCTTTTTCTAATGAGTTTCATTCTATTATATTTTTTTTTCACTTTTCATTATCTTTGAAGACCCTGGTCTAGATAATCTGCCTATATAGGTAACTTATATTGGACGTAATTTGGTTGTTGTAACAATAAGGGCCTGTTTTATTAATTCTGATTAAGTTTCTGATAGTTAAACCGTCACACACTTGACACATTATATGGAAGACGTTATTTGACGGTCTAACAGAGACTTGATCAGCGGTCAGGGCCTTACTTGTCAAGTCGATGTTATTATTTTTTGGGATTAAATGATAAGCTTAACAAAATAATGAATTCTTGACATACTATTTTTTTCAATATCAACTAAGTAATTATTGTATATTTTATAATTGTGATAAGTTATTGTTGTAGTCATTTCACTTGTTTCTTGTGTATAAGTTATGATTGCAGTGGTCTCGTTAAAGACAGAATATTGCATACGTAATAATATTTTGCGAGGTTTTATAGTAAAAACGAAATCAATTATTTTCGACAAGTAAATGACATTATAAATTATATTTTACATTCAGTATGAAAAGTTTTTATGTTGACAATTACGAAGTTTGAGTTCTGACGCTTTTCTTAAATTTTAATAGAGATTTGTTGGTAAGAAAAAAATATTCTTGTACTTTTGCAATTTTACTAAGTAATGAGACGGGACCACTAAACATGGATTATGAAAGGAAAGCATGCATGTAAGGAAAAGAGTTAATGGTAAATGACAAGTTATGACTAACGTATTATTTGACTAGTGAGCTATACAAAATAATAAATATTAATTAATTTTATTTTACTCTGAAAATGATCTCAATAATGCACAGTATTCAATATTAATTTTATTGGTTTCCATCAGCCGGTTTATTTTTTAAGAAATATTGTACCGTATTTAATATTTAAGATTTCGTGTGCGTTACCCAGGCCAGATGTTGTCGAAAATGGTCATTTGAATCTTATAGATAATTAGTTGTGCGGCTTCTGTAATTGTTGCGTACATTTTTAAATTTGTTGCGCTTATAGTTTTTTAACTATTTTACAAAAACATTTCCTGCTGGGGTAACGTTACCCCAGCCAGACCATTTTCTTTCTAATGGGAATATTTAAATAATTACTAGCTATAAAATTTGTTGTCTAGATGAAGTAAATGTTGTGCCTTATTTTGTATTTGTTCTTTCATCGGTTGCGAAGTTATTCGAGATTTTGCTGGAGTAACGTTTTTGATTTTGCTAGATCTTTGAAATGGTTAAGCGGATTCTTATCATATTTGGTACATGGCTTCTTGGGAATTAGTTCAAATTTGTTGTGCAATAATCTTCAAATGACCATTTTCGACAAATCTGGCCTGGGTAACGCTCACTAAGATTTTATATTCTTACTTAAGGCCTAATTCAGTGTCCAAACATTGTTTTATTGTTATAATTTATTGTAAATATTTTAAATCTAGTTTTTATGTTTTTATAGAGCGATATTTCTATCACAAAGTGCACCGTTTGTATAAATTCTAAGTAAACTTTTATATTTTAATCAGTTAACATATATATTTATTACTGTAACAGTTGGTAAAACAATAACTTATTTAAAATATCTGTTAATAAACTTGTGCAAAACCAATACTCAGGTTTTTTATTTACCTCAGCTTGCTCTTGAATAAACAAAATATGTTAAAACTGGTTTTAGTGTCTATCAGATATACAAAACCAAAATAGAAATATCTTTCAAGCGACATTGGCAGAATTCAGGTCAACCTAATAGCCTAATAAAAGAATAATCTATCCAATAGGTATATAGGGTACCAGTAAGTTTCTTTCTGCTCCTAACGGTTGAGGACTTGTTCCTTCCATTATCAGCTATTTAATGTGAGGTGGCGATTTATCTGACAGAGATACTGTTTTAATAATGAAAAGTACATAAAGATTGTTTTACAGTTGCCCTCCATTTCCTTCGGATACCATCCTCTGATCCCTATTTGGTGACATCCTAAAACCACCTCTGATATGAGACATGTAATCTATACATATATAATTCAAAGGTGACTGACTGACTGACTGACTGACATAGTGATCTTTCAACGCACAGCCCAAACCGCTGGACAGATTGAGCTAAAATTTGGCATACAAACAGAAGTTATGACGTAAGCATCCGCTGTGAAAGGATTTTGATAATTTCCACCCCCAAGGGGGTAAAATATGGGATAAAAGTTGTATGAGACTTTATCAGTTTTAAACCGATCGGGTTGAAATTTGGCATGCAGATAGATGTTATGACGTAGGCATCCGCTAAGAAAGGATTTTGATAATGTCCACCCCCAAGGGGGTAAAATAGGGGATGAAAGATCATATGAAACTTCGCCAGTTTTACACTGATCTAGTTGAAATTTGGCATGCAGGTAGATATTATGATGTAGACATCCGCAATGAAAAGATTTTGATCATTTCCACCCCCCAATGGGATAAAATATGTATATAAAATGTAAGTTTTTGCGAAAGTTTGTCAGTTTTGCAACGAAGAGGTTGAAATTCTGCATGCAGGTAAATGTTTTGATGTAGGCATCCCATAAGATAGATTTTGATCATTTCCACCCCCCAACGGGATAAAATAGGGAATGAAAATTTTTACGAAGCTTTGTCAGTTTTGCATCGACCAGGTTGAAATACTGCATGCAGGCCAATGTTTTGATGAAGGCATCCCATAAGATAA